CAGCGCTGTGTTAATCCCCAAGGTGCTTTAAGGGGACTCCTCACAGTGGAAATAATACAACACACACAGTGGAAGTAACACCACACACACACAGTGGAAATAACACAACACACACACAGTGGAAATAACACCACACACACTCTGGATATAACACCACACACACAGTCGAAATAACACCACACACACTCTCAGTGGGAGACGGTGTGTTAGTGCCTTGGAGCAATGAAGTACAACTAAAGGAGGAACATATTCCACTTTGGGGGGGGGGACATGTTACCCAAACACATCAGACACACTTCTCAAGTGCATGTTGTAATCCTTGGCTTCTCCTCTAAGGTGAATAGTATGTTTTACATTTGCTGATTCGCCTCCATGTCTATCTTTGATCAATTACAACTAAATTCGACTGACCCTGTGTTACGAGCGCTTTGAGGCTAAATTAGTTTAAAATTAAATACAAGACTTGTTTTAGATTATATTTGTATTATTATTATTTTTTATATTATTTTTAATTTGTATTTGATTTTCCATTTTTATGAATTTTAAGTAATTGTTCCTTTTTATTGATATGTGTATTATTTTGTGAATCTCGGTTATTATTGTTTTTACCATTTTATTATTATTTTTAAAAGGTTTTTTATTAGGGATTTTTCTGCTTTAATTACAAATACGTGAAATACATTGATGCTGGCCTTCACTCAGAAAACAAACGTGTATTGTTAATAAATATGCGATGATGGGAAAATGAATATTTGGCTTTAAGTCCCACCTCAATGTCTCTCAGGTGTCAAGTTAAGATCTCTCATTACACCCTAGACTTGTAGACCCTCCTCTCAGTTCTCTAACGTCCTTCCCCCCCCCCTGTGTCCCCCAGAGAGCGAGGAGGACCACGAGGACCTCTCTCTGGCGGTGCGCCTGGTGAAGGAGGTGATCGCGGCCGTGGACAGCAAGGTGAACGACCACGAGAAGAGAAAGCGTCTGAAGGACTTCCACGGCCGCATGGACTCCAAGTCCATCATGATGATGAAGAGCGGGCAGATCTTCGCCAGAGAGGACCTTCTGAGGCGGAGGCTGGTGCACGACGGGGGGCTGCAGCTGAAGAACGTCCAGGGGAGGCTGAAGGGTGAGGGGTGCACAACCGACCAATAGAAATGACTGTAGATGTCACATGACCGGGGAGAATTCATGTCCCACACAAATATCTTACATCTATTTACAAGATTTACTGAGAGACTAAATGCTAGCATGAAACACAGCTCTCTGTTTTTACAAATGTATTTTTGCTTCTCTTAATCTAACTGTTTGTTCCAGATGTCCACGCTCTGCTGCTGTCGGACGTCTTCGTCTTCCTCCAGGAGAAAGACCAGAAATACATCTTCTCCATGCTGGTACCATCATCACCCTCTTCATCCTCTCCTCCATCTTCCCTCCACTGATAAACACGTTATGAGAGTTTCCAGAGAGGCTGTTTTCCTACCCCACTGTTTTAACTGTTAGCATTAGCTGTTTGGTTAGCGTACCCTCCAGCTATAGCTGCACCTCATAAAGCTGCTCTGGCTCTCAGCTGCTAACCTAAGTGTGATCAATCATAAAGGGGTTTTCTTTACCATCGAGTTTACAGGACACACACACACACACACACACACACACACACACACACACACACACACACACACACACACACACACACACTAGGTAGTGCAGGAGTTCCACCA